CCCCCCACCCCCCCAAATCCAGTCTCTGCAGAGCAGGGCTGTGGTTGTTGCCTCTGTTTTGTTTTTTTTTTCTACTAAAGACAGCAAAGGAAGCAATGAGGAGTCTGCTAACTTCTTCTTTCCCTTCCCGCTGAAAGTGCAGACAGGCTCTGTGGATTTGGATGGAACAGGGAGAGTTTCTGAAGGGTTGTTGGGGGGGGAATAGGGTTGGAAGAAAGACAGATCCAATTTCTAATCATCATGTAGAGTGACAAGATAAAAACCTTATTTGGTGCAATAAACATTCTCCATGACACCGTATGTGAGCTTTATTATATAGCAGCCTTCTAAAGGTAATTTTCTGCCTCATTTCTTATATGGGTTCCAGCCCTGCTGCCCCTCTTCTCCAGCAAGGTCTGTGTCATTGTTTTCTACACAGTTTACATCTATGCAGTACTAGTATGAAAATTAAGGCCAGGTGTGAAATGCAGGTGTCATCTTAGGAGACAAGAAATCCCCCATCAACCATCAGTGAGCTGCCAGTTGTCATAGCACTCTTATCACTCAATGCTGTTCACCACATCATCCACCTCTGGAATCAAACACAGAGAACATCTGATGCACCCCTCAAATTGTACTAGAAAAACAAGCATCCCAAAAGGTATGCCTTTGACCTCTAAATGTCAAAGGAGCTGGGAAATATCTCTGCCCCCAAACTGTGCTTGATGCAGTATACAGGACAGTGTGGCTGAGCTGGACATCAAAAACTCCTTGTTGTGATCAAACGATACTCTAGTTCACAGGAAGCACCTATGCTCCCCTCCCAGTCATATTTATGAACAACAGAGCAAGTGCATTTCACTTGTCCTAAGAGGAGAAGGCTGTAGAAGAGGGCAGATAAGGTTGATTCTCGCCCTGCACTCATCAAGTGCTTCAGGAATTCAACCAACCACAGCCATTCAGCAGAGTTGTGACTTTGCCTGTCAAAGCAGCAAGCCATCTATGGCTGTGATGTCAATTACAGGGAAGGCTTGGCTACAACAAAAGAGCGCAGCCTGGCAACAAATCTACACCACTGACCTGCAAACTTTCCCAGCGGGATCCGATTAATCATGGCAGCAGATTTCTGAGGGTCACTCCAGTTAATTCTCCCCATGTCAGTCATAACCACTGTGGGGTTCACAGTGTTCACTCTAATCTGGGATCAAGAGCAACAAACAATCCAACTAGACTGCTCTGAGAGGAAATGCTCAGGTTCAGCTTTCACACTATTCTTTCTCTCAGAAAGAATCCTACCTTGTGGGGTCCCAGTTCCATTGCCATTACCTTGCTCAGCATATCCAAAGCACTTTTTGTGGAACCTTCAAGAGAAGGGAAGAATGAGATGCATTTAAGTGCATGGCAGTTGGTCTGGAACACACAGAAGTATTGCACTGCTCAGAACTGGCAGCCAGCAGCTTGGTGACCGTGGGTCTCCAGCTAGTCAAAAATGAGAAGGGCACTGCTAAGGCTACACATACTTACAGTAAACAGCATGATCCCGCAGAGCACGCTGAGATGCCTGGCTAGAGACATTGACAATAGCACCTGGCACCCCCTGTGCAATCATCTGCCGAGCAACAATCTGGGAGGAGGGAGAAGAAAGAAGGAAAAAAAAAAAAAAAAAAAGGTTGCCGGAATTGTAACAGAAGAAATTATTATTTCATTCATTAGGACCTTGCTGGGCTATTAAGGTAGACAAAAGAGCAAAAACATCTGGAGGAAGTAAGTCGTCACTGCCTCCCACTTCCAAGAGAGGGAATCAAAGCAAGAGAATAAAGAGGCTGTACACGTAAGTTGTCAAGTCAGCTTTGCGTTGCAGTCCCTTTAGCCCCTACAATGGACACTTATCTCTTAGTCACTACTGTCCATAGAGACAACTGCAGCGACAATTCTTCCTCACCTGGGAAACATGAAGCACAGCCTGAAGATTCACATCAAGAGACCTACAAATAAATCAGATTTAAAAGTTACAGAGGGGTTACAGCCCAGGCCAGAGAGGAGTTGTTTGGGGAGGCAGCAGAGGATAAGTGCTGCAGGTATCTTGGAAACACTGGTGATGCTCTACAACGTGCACAGAAATGCCAGGCTGACTGGCTAGCAAGAATGGTTAGGCACGCTTTCAGCAATAAAACATTCAGTGGATGTAAGCTATTTAGTGTGCAGGGGAGGAGGTGCATCATCACATTTCTAGCAGGACTCTGTTCTTTAGCAGTCTCGTGTAGTCTCTCTAATAAAGTTTAAACAGTGAGCCCTTGGCCTCAGCCAGTGACTCTTATGTCAATCAAACCCTTCACACGGCTTTAAAATAGCAAATCTGCTATAAGATGGGTAGAAGCATGACCCGTCTTCTCAGAAGGAAGCAGACTCATCATATCCTGTATCCTAAAGCTTACCCCCCAACTGGAACTATGGATCTCTTGAGAGTAAAAGATGATGTCATGTCATTGCAGTAAGCAAATTTAATTTCCCACCATGACAGTTTTATACTCCCTTACCTGACTTTGTCTTCTCTGTATCTGAATTGTCTTATCAACAACTGCCTTTCAATTCAGCAGAGACTGAGTCGAAGCTAGACTAGAAGCTGTGGGCTTGATTGACAGCAAAAGGCACTCTTCTCTCCTGTGTAGGCTGGATGGTGTGCGTACACCACCATCTAAGAGATGAAATTGCAGGGTCTGGCTACTCAGTAACAGTGTGGAATAGCGTCAGTGCTTTACTTGGTTTCCTTTTGATGTTTACAGGGTGAAAGGTGATTGTGTAACATAGGAAAACACAGTAAAGAGAACAGACACAAGCAGTCACAATCAACAAACCACTGCGAAAGGGAACGTTGGGTGTTCCTAAATGCGTGCATGTCCGTCTGGTGCCTATGCACCGGCTGTTTCCTTTAGTAAGAGGCACTGATTTCTGGAAAGCTTTGCCACAATTTTTGACGTCCAGAGTTTTGCGGCGGCGCAGCGGACAGCACCTCTGCACCCCGGGCCGATGG